GCCAACCGTGTGCATATGTTCAAAAGGCATGATCACAGCCATTATGGCTTTTGCCGCTTCGGTTCTGAAGCTGCTTTTGCCTTTGCTTGGCGTTTCTTTGGGCCCACACCTTTGGCCAGCGCAGCGGCTGCCTTCACAGGCTGCTCGTAAGTCTGTTGCAGCTGCACGAAGTCGTTCACCAGAGCCAGGTAAGGCTCGGAGCTGTTCACTTCCTTCGACACCAAATCATGAACTTGCAGGTAGAGAGATCTAGGCATGGGGTGCCAGAAATTCAATACAATTCAAGGGAGTTCTGATGCACAACCAAACCCAGCGCCATGGGCAAAGCCGGGGGTGATAAATGGATGTTTCGCAATGCCCCAATGTTCATTTATGCTCACAGCAGGTCAAGCTGGAGAAGGCAGTTCCCGAGGCTACCTGTTGTGATTCCCCACCCGGAACATCAAATCTTCACAGCATCATTCCCTTACACCCTGAATCGGCATACTACCTCCCAATTGCTATTCCTTGTTGTTCACACCTCACTTTTGAAAGGTGGAAACTCACCAGCGCACTGGCATATTGCTCATAATCATCATTCTGTTGAGGATTACTTTCCACCTTTCAAATCAGCGCGTTGTTCGAATGTAGGATGGAAAATAACGACCCCAAAGGTGGCAAACGAAAACCGGCTTTCCCCCTGGGATGAAAGCGCAGGAGCAAGCTCTTAATTGCATGGGTGTGTATAATTACCGAAAACAAGTCTACCCGTCACACCGTATCCCCAGAGCACTAGCTTGAGCTGAGGGCCCCGCTCAAAACGCGAGGTGAAATCCATCATCTTTTTCTGCAGCTCTTCCGCGTATGGGACGGACCGAAGCTGGAGGCTCAGGTCAGAGGCTTGCGTCTTGGATTTGAGGATTTTCGTCAAAAGGTCTTGGGCTTTTTCCATTTTTCCAGCGGGGTGCAAACGTCAAGGTTCCTTTGGCTTTGGCCCGAGGCTTGGCATCCAACTCTGGCTTCTTGCCTGAAGCAGAAGGCGCGGCGCCACTTGTCAATCCGGACACGTCCAGGTTGACCCTCGAGCCTTTCCTGAGTACGTAGGCGCATGCGCACGCGTGCGGCCCAATTAACATGGCCAATTCCCCGAAGTGTCCTGAAGGAATGTTTGTTGAAGCAAAAACCGTACACTCAGGACACTTTGTTGGAAAAGCGAACACCACTCTTTCAAAACACCTGTTGGAGTTGGCCTGTTCACTCGACCTTGTATGTTGGTTGGGTCGTGCGTCAAAACTAGGCACCCTTCTGGTTTGAGGTCCGTTTGGAGGAGTCTGGTTTTGCCACTATGTTCTCACCGGTTGCTAAACGCAGCCGAGATTCAAGCAATGCTTCTTCACCTTAAGGTCATTGGCGTTCATGTCAGCATTGCTTGAAGCCGAAGATGTCCTGATAGTTGCGTCTTCCTTGGCTATCTCTTCGCTGAAGCGCAGGAAGAGCTCGATGCGGTTGCCGTTCTTGTCCTTAACCACCAAGTTCTGTTCCCGCTTTCGCTGCGCGACCTTGTCCGCGTCACTCGCGTAGATGTCCTGCATCTGCTTGAAGGTGATCGGCTTGCTGATGTCCTTGTTCCGGACACCTAAGGCAGTGGTTTAATACCGTTGGCTGATGCGAAGAGGGAAAAATGTTACCCAACCATGTTCTGTTCTGCTTCAAGATGATCTGAAAGGCCCCTGTTTCAAAATGACTTTTAAAGGGCCCAGGTCCGAACTCCGCCTTTCAGCTTGCAAGCGATTGAAAGGTAGAATCGCAATGCCCCATTCTACCTTTCAATTATAGCAAGACGGTTTAAGTTACCAAGTGTACAAGGGCCATGTTCAGCAGGTGGCCTGGAAAAGTGTTTTGTTGCTTCAAAAACATTCTCCCAGGCCACCTGCTGAAAATGGTCCTGCAATTTGAAGCTGAAAAGTGGAGTTCGGGTTTGCGCGCTTCTCCAAATCCCCAGTTCACAGCGCTTCAATCCGTTATGGTGTGGAGGGGTGAGTTGAAGGACCAAGCCTTTGCGCAAAAAGGCAATGACGTGACAAACTTCTACTAGGACCCTCAACAGGCCACAGTACGTTAAGAAATGGTTGTTTTGAAGAAGTTCTTGCAAGCGAGCTGCTTTCTTCGTGTTCTTGCCGCTCAGTCCACGTAGCGATTGCGGCGTCCAAGTCCCCAGCAGCCTCGCACAGCTCGTCGATCAAGGACGACGGCTCCTCGTTGAGCAACCTGTCGCGCCATGTTGGCGCTTTGGGTTTTGCTTCAGCCTTACTAGAAGGTTTGCGGCTGCGCGTCGGCTGTAGCAACCGCCCTCTGTCGCCGGCGGCTGCGGCACTTTTGCGGCTGCTGCCGGGATTGGCGCTGCCACTTCCGGGGCGGCAGCTTGCTCCGGCATGGCTTGTGTTGGGGTCGGCTCTGAAGTTGGCGCTCCAGCTGCTGCGGCTGCTGCTTGTGCTTGCGCCGGGGTTGCTGCCGGCCCTGACGCTTCGGCGCCGTTCCTGTCGGCTGCTGCTGGCAGTGCTGCCGCGACTGGCTGGCTTGGCGCTGCTGCCTGCTTTGGCGCTGGTTCCTCTGGGATTGGCACCGTTGCTTGCGTTGCTGTTGGCACCGTTGCCTGCGCCGCCGCTCCTGTTTGCGTTGGGGCCGCCGCTTGCTTTTCGCATTCCACAAGCCATCCTAAGGCTTTCAGCTGCTCGTCCACGCGGGCGCGTTCCTGCGCCATCCGTTCACGAGCGGCTTCGGATGCTGCCGGGGTAGTAGGGCTGGGCTGGTCGGAGCCAAACGTGCCGGGAGTCGGGGGCTGCTCCAGGGTTGGCGCTGCCGTTGCACTTGCAGCGCGTGCTTGGCCGGTCGTTGGGCTGGGGGTTGCTGGGGCTTTTGGGCTTGGTGCTGGTGTTGCTGGGGCCGCTGGGCTTGGAGCGGTGGCTGCTGGGCTTCCTTTTCCAAGCCCATCGCTGCTGCCGCGGCCAAGTACGCGGCTGGGTTGAGCTTCTGGAGCATTTGCAGGAGTTGGGCTGGAGACGGCTGTGCCGTTGTGGCACTTCATCCCGCCTAAGGTTGAAACCGCAAAATGGGATAGTGTCCGGGAGCTGGGATTCTTGCGTTGCAGTTTGCTGCGTGCTGAACTTCTCCGCGTCCACCAGCGAGGCGCCGACAACTTCCGCCACACCGATCATACCTTGCTTTTTCCTTGGCTGGTCCCCCTGTTATTGGCTTGAAGCAGTGAACAGGATTCTAACGCTTGGGGTTTTCTTTTCCCCGTTGTTTTAATCCTGGTTGAATCTTCGGCCGCGTTGCCATTTCTGCTTCAAGCCTTTGGGGGACCTTCTTCTAAGGGTTTGAACCCTTTTTTAGAAGCCCACCCACCCACCCTGTCCATTCTGAGGTGTACCTCGGGTGACAGCACCTCAGCATGCGTGTGCATACCGCATGGTCGTGTCTTGCCGTACGCACTACTTTGCCTCAACCATCAGGTTGCACGCATTGCTTCCTGATCACATGGTGCACGCTTTGCACCATGCCTCACAGGTGTTCCTTGGGTGACAGCACCTCAGCATGCATGTGCATGCAGCATGATCGTGTCTCGCCTCGACACGAAAATTGAGGTTGGCATAGTACGCACTACTTTGCCTCAACCTTCAGGATGCACGCATTGCATCCTAAACACATGGTGCACGCTTTGCACCATGTCAGTCATACTTTCCCCCGGTCCGTTTCACGCCCCAGAGGTAAAACACCTAGCGTGTAGGTCAAACACGCGTTGTTGACCTGGGGGTTAGATATCAGGCCCCGCACTAGATGCAGGAAAAGGGGCTGGACACGCATTGTCAGTCCGCCTGCATCTCTGGGCCTCCACGGAAAAAGAAGCGGTGGGTTCGCCTTGACGGTTTACCTTGCTTTTTCCTTGGCTGGTCCCCCTGTTATTGGCTTGAAGCAGTGAACAGGATTCTAACTGGCGATCTCGAAGGCCCTGAGGAAAGGACCAGGCCTGATTGTTCGGACAAAACCCACTGCAAAGCAAAGCAACGATCTGTCAGAGGCAAGTGGCAACCTTGAGAAGGTGCTTATGCGCCTCTGAGGTGAGCACTGATCAACTGGAATCTGCTACCTGGTAAGTGAAAGTCTTAGTTTTCAGCCGGTGGCTTAGATGCAACAGCAAGCAGAGCCGTCCTGGAGACACAAATCGGTCATCCAGGGATCTCCCTGCTAAGGAGTGACACACTTACACCCCAACGGGCAAGGTTCTAACATTTGCTAAACATGGCGCCAGCTAAGAATGCTCCATGTAGGGAAAGAAGTCGATGCGCAACCGGTGGCCAACCTTTGCAACTTGCAATTCAATAAGCAACACAAGGAACAACATCACAACCCGACCTGACTGGAGAAGCAACAGCCTGTCCTCCCAGGGCAGGTGCGCGGATTGGTGTCCCAATCCGCATCACGGGCACTGCGTGAGAGTCTTTGTTGGCTCTCGTTTCATGCAGGCCCCGAGAGACCCCTGCAAGTCAATCTTGAGAACCTACCTCCAGCATTAGACTGGACACACGCACGCACGCAACGCAATCCAGTTTAAAATCACTCCGCATTATGGCCCCCGAGATGATTCAGCAACGGCAATGATATTGGGGATGCCTTTGAGCAGGCCGCCCTGGTACCCTGTGGCCAAGCGCGAATCAGAAGCCAAATTCGCGAATGCCGTTTCTACTTGAGTCCATATTCCAGCGTCCCAGAGCCCGAAATGCCTCGAAGTGCGTCAAAACAAGAACACGCCAAAATCGTGGAACACAAGCTGAATCAGCAACAAATTGACAAATTGAGCGAAACAGGCCGCAGCAAACCTGACCCGATGCCGGGAATGTCGAAGCTGCTTGGTCCCAAGACAATCATTGCCATCTAGACGCTCGACTGCCTCCGGCGCTTGTTCTGGAGTGATCGAGGCTTGGTGTTGGAGGGGCCACAGAATTTACCGTGGCTTTTGGCCCAGCTCAAGGAATCCCTGCGGCGCGAGAGTGCGAGCCTGTGTAGCCTGATGAGCGACTTCGACAAGGCAAGCTCGCCCTTGATTTCTTCAGATCCTTCACAGGCCGGGACTAGCACTCGGGCGCGATCCAAGAGTGGGGATCTCCCGGGGCGTGTTCCGTCAGGTTGCTTGCAGCAGGCCAAGTATAGTGCTGGATTTGCCTCGTGCGCAGCCTGTTCGTTGCAACGCACCGCAGAACGCTTCACGCAGCATGTCGTCATTGATAGTCCCAAGCGCCCTGTAAGCCTAGACGAGCGCAAGCGCAATAGTAACGAGCGACGCGATAGTGATGGACAAGCCGCTTTCCTTCACTAATCCCTAGAGGAACATGATGGGAGGGCCAACGGGATACTATGGAACGCCAGAGGCAAGCAGGCATGGAGTGTGGGGCGACAAGTGCCACAGCATCCAAATTCCAAACAGCGGGCATTGTTGCAAAATATGTTTCAGCCAGTCGAGTGACCGTGCGCGGTAAATGCTACCTTTGCTCAGTCAATGAAGTAAGGGTGTGATGGACATTGCTTGCTCTGCGGCGCCAGGGCAGTCCGACGACCCCAGCACCAGCAGCCACAGCAGCTGCCGCAGCCACGGCTGGCCAGCGGTTGGCAGGCTTTGCGTTGCCTTGCAGCAGCAAGTTTCAGATGTTCCTTCGCCCACGGGGCAGCATTTTGTGATATGTTGTGTAGTGGTGGCTGATGCTGTGACTTCCCCCAGCGGGGGCTGCCATTCATCCCTTGTTTTGGCATGTTGCTTATGCTATGTCATGTTCAGGTTGTGGCGTGTTTCGTGTGGAACAGTGACACTTTATGAAGCTTCGGCTGCGTGCGAAACTCCCATTTCTCTGACTTGTCGCGCTAGGGCCAGTGGCAGGCAAGTCTATGTTGATTTTGGTGGTGCACGCAGACATGAGGCGTGATTATCCGTGATCAGACACATGCGCTGCCTTGCCAAGGTGTGAGACAGCCTCGTTGCCAAGCGATGCTTCATCGAGCCGGCTTGGGCAGTCAGCTGAGCCACGTGCCAAGAGGCCACAGACTCCCCAGCTCAACGGTCAAGCGGCTCGTCAAGAACCCCGAAGTGATGAAGCTGAACAGGAGGCGGTGCCACAGGCTGGAAGTGGAGAAATGGTTTTCAGAAGAAAGACCTTGTTACAAATCAGTGGCGGCGGGCGGACATACCTTCCTTACACTAACTTTGGCGTGCAACAAGCCCGACACAAAGTTCAACAATGAGCGTTGCGAAACATCCGCATAAACCATTTGGGACAACATCAATTATTTGCTAAACGGAACCTTTGCTGAGCGCATCGAAACTTTGCGAAGCAAACAGCCCTTTATTAGTTTGCAACGCAAGCAAGCAGGCAAGCAAGCAGGCAAGCAAGCAAGCAAAGAAACAGTTCGTGCAAAGATGCAGGGTGAACCGTTGTGTGTGCTGCGTGGAGAGTCCTGTGTGGCTTGTCTGTGTGGTGTGTCTTCTGCGGTGTGACCTTTTGTGTGTTCTTTGCGGTACCGATGGCCAATTGGCCCAAAAGGCAGCTGGCGACCAAAAACATGTGTGTCCTTTGCGGTAACTTATTATGTGGAGTGTCCGATGTGGAGTGTCTTCTATGGTGTGTCTTTTGCCCGGCGCGTGCTAGTGGTGTGGTCTATGTGGATTGAGTGTCCTTTGTGGTTTGTGCTACGTAGAGTGTCTTTTGTGGCGTGTCTTAAGTTGCGGGGCCTTTGCGGTGTGTCCTCTGTGGAGTTACCTTTTGTGGTGTGCCTTCCTTGAAGCATCCGACGTGGAGCTTCCTGGAGTTTCCTGTGCGGTGTGTCCTCCTCGTATGAAGCGGGACGATTGGCATGTGGAGCGCCTGGGCCTTGACAGTTGACAGGGGCACTCTGGAAACGAATCGGCTACGCATTCTTGAAGTAAGAGTGGAGGCCTTCCCCTGAGGGCTTTCTCAGGGAGGTAGGTTGCGAAGAAGATTGCAGTGGTTGGATTGGTTTGGAGTTGAGATTCAGTGTGCTGGGAGTAGGGCACAGCTTTGGCTTTACAAATGACAGTGCCTCAAGTGCAGTTCCAGGGCCGTCCGCAGACAGCCACGCCTGCCGCAGCGGCCACGGAAGGGCAGCGCGTGGAAGAAACTGCTCAGTGTCCAGGCAGCAGTTCAATTTGCAAATCAGGTTTGGCCTCACCATGCCTCACCATAGTGGCCATAGTGGCCATGGTGGCCATAGTGAACTTGTTGGTGCTTAGGCAAGAGACGGCACGCCGGTGGAGGGGGCGGAGCCGCTCTGTGTCCACCACTGAGACCGTCTCTTGGGGGACGCTCTCTGATGGGGATGCCTCTGTGGCTTGGGAGGCCGTGGGAGCGGCAAGGGGGGGCATGGGTTGGCATCGCAGCCGCCTCCGGAACATGGACTTTGGCCCACAGATTTACATGCCATCGAAAGTGGTGCAAAAGTGGCGTGGCCTGGCGCCGGAGGAGAGGAGTTTGACCAACTTCCCGAGGGCCATCAATGAGCCGGAAATCAAGAACTACTTGCTTCACTCGGTTTGGCATCGAGTTGATCGCAACCTCCGGGAGGAAGATGTTGAGGAGGAGACACCGGCGATGTGGTGGTTCGGCATTGACGGACCAAGGCAAGAGGTCTTCCTGCTGATCCTCAACTCGAACATGGTGTCTCGCCACGACTTCACGGCCCGCCTGCTGCTGGTACTGGTGCCCAACAACCGGATGGGAGGCTCACCCTCCAACCCCAACCAGCTGCTGTTTGCACACTTGTTCCCTTCCTCGAACCTTTGCAGTGAGCCCAGGATGTCCTCCATGCTGAGAAATAGCCTGCGCGAGCTGCTCCCAGACTTCGACCTTTGTTGTCGTGATGCCATTTGCCGTCTTGAGGAGTCTGGGGTGCCGCTGGTGCCGGCGGCCTTCGAGACCAGCCGCAGGGAGGATCTGACCTTTGATCCCAGGGCCAGGGTCAATGTCGTGGGCATTGCCCAGCACATTCGGCACGAAGCCCGCTCGCATCGCATCCCAGTGGAGTTCTCCCACCTAAGTGACGCTGACATCAATCAGCGAGTGCAGTGGGCGATCACCCGGCTCAGGAATTCGCCCCATTGCGCCGTCCCCCAGTACTTTACCGCTTCTCAGATCAGTACCTAAGATGTTTTGATAGGTTTTGATTGTCCATTTAATAGCCACAGCCACGGCGGGATTTCAAGGCAAGTTGCCAAACCAAGGACCGAAATTGCGTGCGTGGCGGTTCCATCAACTTCCTAGCGCCCCTCAGCTTGTCGGAGCCCGGATCAGATGATGCCGCCGTGGCTTTGGTCCTGGTGCCGGAGCGCAGCCGAACTGGCGAAAGGTATTACAACGCCATGACGATTCTCTCCCTGATGGAGGCGCACTTGAATGCCCTGGTGGTAAACCCCTTCAGCGGCCACTGGCTTCGCATCCAGTTCTAAGAGCAAAGTGAGCAAGGGCCAAAGCCCTGTTGGATTCGGCTGACCCCTTTCCTCAGCAAGGGGACACAGAGTTTGAGGAGAATTCCCGTGCTCATGGGCCACTGGGCCATTTCGTGAAAAGCAGGCCAACTCGCCAACACAAGCCCGAATCGGCTGCAAGAATCCACCAGGGGTGATGCCTAGTCAAATTCAGTCAAGTCTTACGACTTGAGCCCAGTCTTTCGCCCATCCTGTTGGCGCAAAGCTGAAAGGATGAGGCGATGCAGAGCCATGGATTTGCTGCATGCAACTCAGCAGTGCAGGAGGCGCATGAGAGCTTCCAGGTCTGCGATGAGTCCAGGTTTGCGATGTTGCGTAGGAGTGCGTGTTGTTTGTTGCGTGCGAATGCCGTTGAAAGCTTCCATTGCCTATGTTTTCTGCTTAAGAAACGTTATTGCAATTTTACATCAACTTGTGCACCCATCTTGCGGCGCAAGTCTGGACAATTGGACAGGACCGACCCTGGCCGCTCTGGCATGTGGGTTGGCAATACTTTGTTTTGCATGGACTGGAGCGTGATTCTGAATGCCCTGGCTTTCACGGTGCCTTGAAGAAACTTAGCCAGTTGGCAGACCATAGCTCAGAGGGCCGATAGGAAAACACCATACTTTGCTTTGAGGTTTGACCCTTTGGTGCCAGGAGTCATGCGCCCGATCCATGCAGGAAGCGAAGGGGCTGATGAGGTTGAGGAGATTTGGTGAGGTTTTTTCCCTCCATTCTGAGGCACATGCAACAAAGCTTGGAAGGGTTTTTTCTATCCAAATCTCGATGCTGAAGCCAAGAAAGTCGAAGCCAAACATCGCCTGGCGCAGTGCATACTTTGTGTAGCGTAGAGTCGGGAGTCCAGGCCTTTGGACACCCAATTCCCCTAGAGTGATATTTGTGCTGGGAGAGCGGCGTGGAAGAGAGAGGAAGAGTGCCGTGCACCAGGCTCTGCACCAGGCTCTGCAGCAGGGAATAACCCCCCAGGTCAACCGGCCTTGGTCTGATTGCCAGGGAGGAAGTTCAAAACCCTGAAGGAGTAGCCCTCCGATTCCACAATGTAGTGGTTGACTAGGTTTTCATGGAGGGCTCCATGAGCAGCCTGGGATACTGAGATTCGGTGGTCTTCGCTTCCTCAGCGCAGCATGTGATTCAGGGACACGGGCGGAATCAGCAGCCGTGTGCCCAGCCATGCTCCGGGTGGCGAGGCTCGCCTCGCAGTGTTGGACCTTCCGGAAAGTGGGCTTTTGGGGATCGGTTGAAGTGCATGCCAGCTTGTGCCCAGTCGGTTGCGGTCAGGTCGGGTCCTCCATGCGCCGACGCGCTGAGACGATCGAGTCGTGGACTATTGTGGACTCTGGCCTAGCGCTGCCGGCCTGGCCGCAAGAAGACTCGCCCCTGCGTCTACGACTCCGGGATGGTGGAGTCAGCCCTGCAAGTTGACAGGACCTACTTAAGTGGACCCGCCAAGTTATGGCAGATACGGAATTTATAACATACGTTATAAGTAGCATAACATACGTTATAACTGTGGCATCACGCGTTATAAGTCCGACAAGTTCCCATAAGTATTTGTAACTTAGTTACCGCGCGGCTCGGAGTAATAAGTTGTTACAGCATTTAAAGGTGCTTTGGCCTTGGCCTTTGGCTGCGCAGCTCCAGCAGAAGATGCTCGCTTGCCCATGATGAGGATTCACGCAGTGGCCGGAATTGGCTTGACTCGGCTTGAAGGTGCAAATCTAGCAGCATTCAAACAGATTTAGCAATGTGACCTAAATGTGAAGCACCAGTCTTGCTGGTGATGCTGGACAGATCAAAGACAATGTGTGAACATGCGCGTCTGTCTCCACATGCTGCCCATGTATTTCGAAGCAGCATATAAACCGCTAAGCCGGTGCTGAAGATTAATCCTGAAAGACATGTCAAAAGCGTGCTTCCTTTGATCAAGGCAGCGTGGATGATGGCATGAACTCAATGTGCAAACAGTGCCTACCGCCCATGCGCGCTTTCCCATGCAGGACTCTACGCAGCTTCGTACAAGTATAGACCCGCAAACAACTTGGTTCAATGTACAACACTGACGTGGGCTAAACATTTGTTGATGTGTTCTATATTGATACAGTCTGATTTGCTTGAAGACATGCGTCGTGTTCCTAAGCAAAACCGATCTAGAAGTTCGAGTTCTGGTATGACAAGTGTGCGCCAAAAGATGTTCTGTTTGATGTTTTCAATTATCAACCAACTATGCTTCCAGAGTTGTCCTGATATCTAACCAACCGTACAAGCGAGCAGATCATTGACAAAACAACCTCTAAATCTTGCTATGTTAGTTGTTTTGCATCGGTCCCGCGCAACCTCGGATATTGGGCCTGTGAGATGCTATGTTAGGGGTTTTCAAGGTTTCCGGATTTCTGACGTAGTTTGTGCTAACATGGCTTTTTGCAGTTGCCATTTTGGCCCGACAAAAAAGGCCTGACCAGGTGCCAGGTTAGACGAGGAGCGGGGTGAACTGGGTGACCAATTTTGGGTTGGGCTACCGGCGGAAAAATCAGGAGTTGTGCCATCCTTTCATCAGGAGTTGTGCCCCGACCCATAAGCTTTGTCAGGCAAACAAAAACCTTTCCAAGGCACGTCATTCAACCCAAGCTCAAATCCTGGCTTTGGTTTTGATTTAAGGCCACCAAAAAAGGGGTACCGACTCCAAAGAAGACACACCCATTTACCACTAAATAACCAGGGGAGACCAAAATGTGATAGATTCCCTTTCAACACCATCAGGCACACCCGCAGGTGCTATGTTAGTGGGACCAAGGGCAACGGTTTTGCCCCCAAGCCACCATTTTTGGGGGTTTACATATCCCCCCATTGTGGACACGCTTCCACTAACATTTGAAGGACATTTGATCTTCCAGGTGCCCCCCCCGCAGGTGCTATGTTAGTGGGAGTTAGGGAAGTGTTTTGCCCCTAAGCCACCATTTCCCAATTTTGAGTACCCTCCCACTAACATTTTAAGGAAATTTGATCTTCCAGGACCCTCCCGCAGGTGCTACGTTAGTGGGACGAAGGGTAACTGTTTTGCCCCCAAGCCACCATTTTGGAGGTCCAAATCCAAATTTTGAGCACCCTTCCACTAACATTTTAAGGTAATTTGATCTTCCAGGTACACACAGACACACACTTAAACTCCCGAAGGAGGTTGCTGAAAGTGGCGGTTTGCGCGGGCAAAGAGGGGAACTTAGTTTGGGTGACCCGCCAGCTGCCTTGTCAATGGCCCAGGCGCGGTCATGCAGGTACGTTTTCACCCCAGCTCAGGGGCGTCTTCGTTGGCCAGAGACCCCTGAGCCAGGCTCTGGCCCCCTGCGACTTATGGGATGGTTCCAGGGTGAATCTGGAACTCTGCACACACACGCCCCCCGTGGGGGGCGAGCGCACTTGTTTTCCGGGAAGAGCGAGCACGTTCTCACGAAGGCAAATCAGGAGCCAAAATAGCCGAGGCGTCCAGGTGATCTGGAGCGGACTCTAGATGCAAGGTTGTCCTCAGGCGTCGGGGCTCCTCGGGAACGATCGTAAGGTCTCCAGGGTAGTTGATGCCAAATGCCGCGAGAAGGCTCAGGATTGCCAAGTGGCCCCACGGTAATCCGTGTTGCAGCCGGCTGCAGGGTAGGAGCGGCTTCCGTCGCCACCGCACCAACATGCACATGATGAACACGATCCCGATCCTGGTGCACATCCAGCGAAAACGGCGCATGTGGATCCAGGTTGGTGTCAAAGGAGTCATATTTTGAAAGAACACGTTGGTATCCTTGACAACGCCAATCCTGCAGCTTGACCCGGCGTGATGCCACCGATGCTGATGCTGTGGCTGCGGGGGCGCAACGCGGCGGTATCCTTCAGTGGTCCAGTCTCGACGCCACCATAGTGGTTGCCCGCCACTGTCGTGATTAGTTGATTCATCGGCTTTCCATTCACGATATGTGTGAGATGGAACGGGATCATTGTATGTTCCCAACATCCGTGGGCCAGGCTCAAAGATCTTGATCCATTGGTGTTGAGCTTGTAGAGGATCCGGGCACCACTCAACCCACGGCACGCCAAAGACTACACTAATCAAGTTTCAGACACACTGCGGCATCACGTGACACGAAATTGATGTGAGACAACAGCCGCAGCAAATGGTAATGAGACTGTATGCAACATCCGAACAAACTCAGACATGCGAATTACTATTTTCCACCAGGAGCCTGAATCGGTCAACCCTTACGCATTCCAATCAAACTGCAAGTCAGATAATGCTTGCCGCGGTGAAGAGGTTATTCTCCTAGCCCCATCCGATGCTGATGAAGAAGCGGACGACTGATCCCCAGCTTGAGGTGGTCGGAGGCGATGTGACGTAGTGTTTAGTAGTTGTTGCCATCCAGGTGTGTTCCAGTCTCGAAATTGCCAGTAGGAGCGTGAGGACGTCAAGGTAGTGCGAAGCTGACTCTCAGGAGTAGTTCCGCCCGTGCCATCCACGATGTCGCGTGTTTCAGAGACATGACACTGTTTCCACTCTCGAAACGGAAGGGCATAGGGTGGTGTCACCATTGTGGGGCTCATAGTTGTCCAGGAGCCGGCCGGGTGTAAAGATTCGTATCCATTCTTGAACAGCGTCTCCCGGTCCGGCCTGGATCTCATACTCAAAGTACCGCGGAACAGACCACATGTCAATCTGCAGAGGATCCGACATGGTTCAATCTTCAAATGCTCACACTACGAAACAGCGACAAATTGATCCGACAAGCGAGCACAGTCAACATGATGAGAGAGCGACACAAGCCATGAAATATGCACAACACGTTTTGATCTATAGGTTCCAGCGAGTGCATTATTGGCCGCGGTGGTTCCAGCATCGGCAGTGAAAATGGTCGCGCTTGTGTCGACTGCATGGAGCAAGGCATCGTTGATGTCCAAGAAGAAGATGATGACAGTGATGGCGGCATCGTGTCAGTCTTGTGCTTGGAGTCCTGGATCGCCACGTGGAGAAAACGTTGAATGGACGTCGATGATGGGTGGGTGTGAACTTGCGAGATGTTCTGGATGGTGTTCTGCAATCATGAGGTCTGAAGGCTTTTTGTTGGCTTCTTGTTGAGGAGGACTGTGATGGAGGACATCGGTGCAGATAGCATGAGTCATGTTCTCGACCTTCATGATGTACGCCATCTGGTAGAGCACGATGTTGACGTGGAAGTACGGTGGGTGGCCCGTCGGATTGGGATTCGCCATAGGTGATGTGTTGTTTCGACATCACAGATGACGGCGCAGGTGGTGGTGGTGGTGGTAGCGGTAGTGGTGGAGGAGGTGGTAGTGGTGGTGTTGGTTCGT